CGGTAATACATTGTAATGTTTTTTAGAAGGTCTGTCTCTCTATAAGTCTATGTATTATATAACTAAACTATTGTTGTATTGTAAAATAAACAAGGTTTTCAAAATGTTTAAGAAGCTTCATTTAAAATTAAATTAAAATGTTGATCTTATGCCGCTGGCCTGCTCAGCCCGCTGCTGGTCTGGGGTTCCGTTCACCTAGGCCGGCAGCAGGCTGAGCGGGGCCTGTGGCTGGGACCCCGTCTGGCAAGAGGCCAGCAGCCAGAACCCCAGACCAGCAGTGGGTTGAGTGGCTCAGCCCACTGCTGCTCAGGAGTTCCATCCGCCAGCTCCTGCCAGCCGGGATCCCAGCTGCCAGACCCGCTCAGCCAGCTGCCAGTCTGGGGTCCTGGCCCTGCCCACATAGAGTGGGTACCTACTTTCTCCTTGGTTCTGGCCATTCTCTTCCTCTCTCTCTCTGCGCTGAGCTGAGGGTGGGAGTGCACTGAGCACAGGGCTGGGGGTGAAGGAGCAGGTTGGGGCAGGGTCTGGCCAGGAGCTAGAATGAGGGAGGGGGTTCAGGGTTGGGGCAGGAGATTTGGGTGTGGAGCGCTCAGCTGGGCAGCTCCCATTTGGTGGGAAGGGTGCAGGTGGGAATTGGGGGGGAGGGGGAAGGTGCAGGAGCTCAGGGTGGGGGTGGGGATGTGGAGGGGCTGGGGGCATGTGAGGGGGGGGTGCAGGTGTCAGGGCATGGGGTGTGGGGGCCCTGGGTATCTGTGGGGGTGTCAGAGTCAGGCCTGGGATCATGGGGGGGGGAGGGTGAAGGAGTCAAGCAGAGAGCTGGGTGTGTGTGATGGGGGTACAGGGCTCAGGGTAGGGGCCTTGGGGGTCTGCAGGGCTCAGGGCAGAGGGCTGGGTGTGTGTGTGGGGGGTCAGGGCAGAGGGCTGGAGGGGATATGGGCTGGGGTCATGGGGTGCTCACAGCAGGGGGGTGGAGGGGATATGCCCCGCTTCCCCAAGGCCCTGCCCCTGCCCCTGCTTCTTCTCTGCCTCTGTTGGGAGCAGCATGCATGCAGACTCCACTCCTCCCTCACCCCCTCACAAGGGCCATCAGCTGGCAGGGAGGGACGGAGAGGAGGAGGAGGGGCAGGAACCCAGCACACTGTGGGAAGAGGCAGGGGAGCCGGCAGGACCAAGCTTCTGCCCCCGCAGGAGGGGGCGGGGAGCGGAGAAGAGCGGGCTGGGCTGGGCCAGGCCAGGCTGGATTTTTAATGGCAAGCTGCTGCCTGCCGGGACCCCTGCTCACGTGCCTTAAAAATGGGCTCGCCGACCCCTGCTCTAGTAGAACTAGAATATGAACAAAAGGCTTTCATAAGCCACCTGAGTGAAATCCTGGCCCCAGTGAAATCAATGGAAGTTCTGCCATTGACCTTAGAACCAGGATTTCACCCTCTCTGAAATACTGGTTTTGAATTATTTTCTACTGGTGGGAGGAACTGAAGAATAAGAATGGTCATTGAAAAGCCACAGGGTTTTAAAACACATCACTCCACAGCTAAGTAGAAAACATCATGCTGTAAGTTTTGTTCGTACAGATCAAAGTCTACAAGCACATTCTGGGTTGAAGGAAGCACGACTGTAAAATTCAGTGATGACATCAGTCTTGTTACTGGACTATGTAAAAGTTCCTTATTCCTGAATCTGAGCTCATAAAACATTAAAATAAATACCAGTTATTTCTAGGGAGGGGAACTGCTTGAAGGTCATCGTTGTTTGAGAGGTGTGTCGGGGAAATCAAGAGATAAGAACAATTTCCCAGTCAGCAGCACATGTACTATCTGGGATTATGTTCTACTCTTGCCGATTTTTCTTCTTTTCTTTCTGGATTTCATTCCTCATATTCCTATCATTCCTGGCCCACCACATGGGCTGATTGACTAATTAGTCAGAGAGAGAAACCTCAATTTTTAACAGTCTTTAGTGCAAATTCAGCTCTGATGTACATTGGTACAACTTCACTAAGGAAGTAGAACATGTCCCCACTTACACTGGAGCTGAATTGGGCCCCATTTGTGGAAACAGCTGCCAGTGGCTTTTTTCCAGATTACTAGTGTATTAAAGTATGGTCACAGCTTCACATAAGACACTCTTTAATTCATTTATTTTTCATTAAAACCATTATTTGCAGCCAGATGGTGCACTCATTGAAGTTCATGAGTATTTTGCTGTTGATTTCAGTTGGACCAGGACTTTGTCCTTGCGGAACAGACTGCATCCGGGCTAATGTTTCTGCACCTATGTACTATGTGTGCATTAGTTATATCTCTTTGAGAGGCGTCACCAGGTGACACTGGTTAATAGTTTTGACAGGGAGAGGGAGGTTAGAGTGAGCAAATGGGGCCTCTTGGAAAGACATGCTATCTTGTTTTTAATTTTGTAAAGTTTTGTGTATAGGCAGCTTCAGGAGAGAGAGCACTTGTGCAAGAAGCTGCAGAGCTTGGTCTCTGATTAGAGTCTGTTCCTGAGGCATGCTTGGGCCTTAGGAACAGGACATTGGGGTTGGGCTAATATTCCGGGAAGAAAGGATTGGCTGCATGTTGTTTGACCATCTCATTTCAGAACCTGGGTAGATCCATAAATAAAATATGTTACGCTTAGAATATACCCAGACTCCGTATCACTGATTCCTCCTTCACTGGGAAGTCCACTGCAAAGCCCCGATATCTACTACCTCTCCGCAGAGTGATGCTGGTGTTTGAATGGCACCAGGGTGTCAGAAGATGGGGCAACAATGTATTAAGTGCATTTAAATAAGTTCATAAACACAGCAGTTGGTACAACAAGTTGGATAGCACAGTAAAGCATGTCGGAGACTGAACTCCGAGGCTCCTGTAAAGCATGGCACTTAAGTCATAATGGCTTTTTTTTTTAACTGCTTTTTTTTCTCCTAAATGTTCTTACACCTGCAGTTTGTATAGACGTTAGTGGGAGTTTTGGGTGCTTTGCACCTTTCTGCTATTTAAAGGCATAAAGCAATTGTATTTTCACTCACATCTCTCCAAAAGTACATTTCAAAATGAATGTGTTAAATAGACTTGGAAACTAAAAGCATTCTGGACCCAAAACCAAGGCTTTCAAGCCAGATTACCTTTAATAGCAAAGTGCTGTACGTTATGAAGAGCAGTTTTGTCGTGTTCTTTGATTTTTGGATGGGCGAACAGCGAAGCAGAATAAGAAGCAAAAGCCTCTTCACAGCTGAGCAAGTGATAGCCAAAAACAGACAAGTGTGCCATTTTTGGTGGCCTCAGAATGGACATAAAACATTGTGGTGTTTTTGGGAGCTGCTAGATACGCAGCACTTCTGACCATCAGCTCATTTATTTAGGTGCCTACATATGGTCTTAAGATCTAACTTTAGGCACCCAGGTTTTTTGATTTTTTAATTTTAGCCTAGTTATGATGGAGGGGCAGCCAGGCCAAACCTGAGCAGCATTGCGCCCCTGGGTGCTGGGTCCCTACGCCACTCACTGAAGTTGGGGTTGGCCGCCCCTCCATTACAACAGAAGGGCATCTGGGCCAAACCTGAGTAGTGTGGGGACGTGAGACTGTGGAGTGAGTGAAGCTGGGCAGCAGGGATCATCAGTAGGGAGCTGCCCTAGCCTGGGACAGGATTACTGGCCTGGGAGGCACTGCTAAGTAGCCGGGAAGATCCTGGAGGCAGTGTATGAGAGGCTGGGGATGAGTTATCGGTGGGCTATGGGGTGAGTGGGGAGTGTTGGGGGCTGTGGCTTGTGATGCTAAGGTGTTGAGCTGCAGAGAGAGGCATGTATTTCAGAGCTGCTGCGGTGCGGGGGGGGGGGGCATGAGGATAAATGGGGGCTGGTGGAGAGTTGTGTTGGGGTATATGTGAGGTGGGAGGGGCATGCTGAGGTTGGTATGAGGCAGGGTCACTTTGCTGTCTAGCTGATGGGAGGTGGGGAGCCCCAATTTCCATAGTGCACAGTGCCCAAAAATCCAGGCCTGCTTATTATAAAGCTTTATTCCAAGCCTAGAAGTGACACAGCTGCCAAGTCAAGAACAAGTGGCTGTCTGTTTAATTTGGAACAATGAAGATATTAACTTGGTTAGATCAAAAGTTACTTTTATGTAAGGCCCAAAAAAATGGTTACTCACCTCGTAACTGTTGTTCTTTGAGATGAGTGGTTCACGTCCATTCCAATCAGGTGTGCGCGCACCGCATCCACAACAGCCGGAAGATTTTTCCCTTAGCAGTGTCCATAGGGTCGGCTTGGGTGCCCCCATGAAGTTGAGCCTTCATGGCTCCCAATATAGGGCCCTGCCGACCTGCCACCCCTTCAGTTCCTTTTTACTGCCGGTGGTGCCTAGCTGGAACACTTGCTTTGCAAGCGGTTTGGGCAGTGTCCACTCTTTGTGTTTATAGTTTGAGTAGTTACTAGTGTGTGTTAGGTGGTAGCAGTAATAGTAGTTCTTAAGTTTCCTTTCAGAGGTACTCCCCCAGTACTGGGGTATGCCCCAGTCCCCAGGGTTCAAGCTCTGCGAGCACTGTGGAAAGTTTATGCCTCAGAGTGACCTGCACTCTTCCCGTCCATGGTATCTCAGGGAGAGCCACCAGATGGAGAGGTGCAGAATTTGCAAAGGGTTCCACCCTAGGATCTTAAAAGACCGGGATCCAAAGGCTCAAGGGCCTTCTTAATGGAGGCAGCACTCCAGCCCCAATCCAACCAGGGTCAGGAGAACCCACGCCCAGCACCTCCTCTCTGGTGCCGACGGTGCGCGAGCCAGTGCTGAGGAAGGATCCCAAGAAGTCACAGCACCGCCATGGCTCCACCCAGAGACTATCTTCTGTGAGGCACTGGTCTCAGTCCCTGGTGCCCCAGAAAAAGAAGAGTCCGGAGAGGGATCGCTCTTCCCCGTCCAAGCCCAAGGAGCCTGCGGCAGGGACACCCAATTCGGGCCATGTCACCTTGGCTCCTCCACCTCCCAGAGTCTCGTCAACTCCTGCCCCCACCCAGGGACCAAACCTACCCTTGCTAATGGGCGTGTGGGTCTCCAGCGAAAGGGGAACTAAATATGGAACAATGATACTTATGAACAACACACACTTCCTTTTTAAAGTAGTGATACATTTGGTTATATATGACCAAGAGCTACAGAGATGCTCTCCATCCATGCAGCTGCTCTTCTAACTGTGCTGATTAAATGCTACCCCCTGTACTTATTGATACATTTGCTTTGGACTGGTGTAACTGGTAAGTAAACTCTTCTAATTCTTTTGATGTGGAGGCAATGTTGGGTTTTCTTAATGAATCTGGACAAATGACTCAGTCAGGATCTCTAGGTGTTTTCACAAATGTATAAAGTTTTGTCATTTCCAAATGTTGGTTGGTTTTATTGTCTTTCAAGGTTCTGAATTAGAAGCTAAGACAAATGTTTCCCATTAAAAATAATTTTATAGCTATATCATCAGTCACTTTAACTAATGTAAAAAGAAAAGGAGTACTTGTGGCACCTTAGAGACTAACCAATTGATTTGAGCATAAGCTTTTGTGAGCTACAGCTCACTTCAATGTGTTTTAGTTCATTCTGTTATAATGCTAGAATAGGTAGTCTGGCTGTATCACTGAAAGAGGGAAATTGGATGCTTCTGAGGCTTGTTAACTGGTTCAGATTAGCATGAAAATTGTTGCCCAGGGTGGATAAACATCAATTATTATTTTTTAATAAAAAAATCAATTTTTTTATTTAAATTGAATTTTTTTGATAAAATGCTTTTTGAGGGAAAAACCTATCTAAAGATAGTTTTAATTAAGATACATTATAGCTCAAAGATATCTCATCATGGAATGCATCAATGTCCACTGAATGCATCCGATGAAGTGAGCTGTAGCTCATGAAATCTTATGCTCAAATAAATTGGTTAATCTCTAAAGTGCCACAAGTCCTCCTTTTCTTTTTGTGAATACAGACTAACACGGCTACTCTGAAACCTGTCATCATGGAATAGGGATTATAATTCTAATTCTATAGCATGAGACAATATATTCATGTAATGTTTAAGAAAAGTTTTGTAAATGAGTTTCAATAGTTCACGAATTAAGGACCCAATCTTATGGGGTTCCATAGGCTTTTGTATAGATTATTTAGGTTAATCTCTCTATCTACCCAATGGGACTCCGTGCTCAATCTAGAAGATACCATCAGAGATGCTTAGTTTTGCAGTTCTCAGAAATGTGGATGTGTGTCTCCAGAGGTAACATGCTTGTTAACAGCAAAAATGTTTTAAAATAAATAATATAGAGAGATGAGAAATAACAGACCTCAAATCTATTGTCCCTCTGCAAATTTGTGTACACAGAGCCAATCCCTTACCTCTCTCTAAAAGTGCAAAGTTTCAAAAAGTTCAATGAATAGAAGATTGTTGGGGGCAGAATAGATTTGGACAAGGAAAAGAAGTCTGGAGATAAATGTGAGAAGCGAGGGACATATGCTTGTTTTGTTAAAATATTATATGTTTGTTGTTGAAGAAAAAAATCCAGAACACTTAATCACAGGTTTCAGAGTAGCAGCCGTGTTAGTCTGTATTCGCAAAAAGAAAAGGAGTACTTGTGGCACCTTAGAGACTAAGCAATTTATTTGAGCATAAGCTTTCATGAGCTACAGCTCACTTCATCGGATGCATTATGTTGTTTGTTTTAGTTAAATAAATCAATTTAAATGTCTGTCTGGTGATGTTCTCCTAATACAGCATGGCAAGAAAATCCTCCAAATATTAATGATTAACCTGTTGAATTGGAGATAATTCACCTCCCAATGACTTCATAAATATCTGCTTCGATTACCTTTAGTAAATGAAATAACCAAACAAGCATTCATTTTCTGATATAGCTGTAAAGTTTTTTCAAAATAAATGTTTAAAAATGTATAGTGTGTACCTTCTAAAAATGAAACCTACATCCATCTCTGAGTTGTGAAGAACATGTCAATGTCAATATCAATTTGATTGAACTCAAATCCACCCTGTTGTTGCCATCTGACAAATGTTCAGTTTCTTATGTGGCATAAACTGGTAAATTTCAGATCACTTTTTACTGGACAGGAGTTGACATCACAAACCAGCACAACAAATGGAACCTTGATTGACCATTAAGATGTTAATATTTTCAATGGGCATACAGAGCCTCTCACTCCTTAGCATGTATATGGGCACTGCATAAATAATAAATATTAACAATAATAATCCCTATAGTTTATGGTTGAGACGTGGGTGGGATGGCACTGGGGAAACTAGAAACTGCTGATGTAGCTGTGCCTGTGAATTGATTTAAAATGCTTCAATTTTCTAGGATGTCAATGTGGCCCCTGTTACTGGCACTAAATTCACTATTCTGTAAAAGAAAATAATACCACAAATTACAATTTAACTACTTTAGTTCTGTATGTGTCTAAAACAAATGCTTTCTATCCTTTATTACTTTAGTTTCAGGAAATCGAGAATTGCACGAATTAATTAAACCACAAAAGGTCGAATTTCACTCATTAAACTTCAACAATACTTTGCATTGGCATCCTGGGAGGGCTGCCACAGGTGACATCATCTACTTTGTGCAGTACAAAGTGTAAGTACAGTGAGGAACTCCCAGCTCCTGCTTGTCTTTATGCCTGTGGTAGCTGGGCTGAGAGTGAAACTGAGCAAGAACTGATTTTTTTTCAGTTCACTGGCAGTTCCAAAAAGTCAAGAACAAAATTGTTTTGGGTTGACCCAAAGAAAATGCTTTGCAAAATATTGGGCAAACTGAAAAGTCAAAGAAAAATTTGTTTTGGGTCAAAGTGGTTTTGTTTCAATTCTGAGCTTTTCAAATGGTTTTATGATTATTTATTAGTAAAGTAGTGTGCAATTTTGAAACAGTCTTTTTGAATGCAAAAATGTTCAAATGAAACATTCTGACTTCAAAGAATGTGGTGTTTTCCCCCTCCACAACCGTTCAATGAAATTGACAAGAATTCGCAAAAGGGTTCACTGCTGCTGAGTCTGCATTTTTCACTGAAAAACTTCACTCTTCTCTTCCTTCCTATGTTCGGGGAATTGCCGTGCTCTGTTACCTCAAAAGAGGTGATTTAGTCAATTGCTACAAATAGCACAAAAGATGACTTTTTAGAACCTGACAAAGGGTGATGTCAAGTCACTCCCTGCAATGTGCTGAGCATCTTCATCACTCATTGTCTCTGGGGTGGAATGTGCTATCTCACTGGCCTACATTTTCAAAAGCAACTAGTTCGCTTGCGTGCCTCAGTCTTTAGTTGTCCAATTTTTGAGACACCTTAAAAGGGGTTGGTTATTAGATATACTGAGCTCCTTCCCTCTGGGTGAAATTCTGTGGCCTGCATTGTGCAGGAGGTCAGACTAGATGATCAAAATGGTCCCTTCTGACCTAAATATCTATGAATCTATATCATGTAGGTCATCCCACATGGAGGCACCTTAGATCACTAGTCACTTTTGAAAATTTAAGCCACAGTGCCCAGCAATAGGAAGTGAGAAACAAGACTTCATTTGCTGATTGGAATCACAGGAAGCCTTAGATGGGCAATTTGACATTTTGCTGACATGGAAAAATATCTAGTAGGCTGCAGCTAGCACCCTTTATCTAGAGGGAAAAAAAGTGCCATAGGTTTTTAATAACAAGAAGCGGTCAGCACTTCAGTTTTATGTCTCCTTTAGAAAAATGCAGTAATACACTTCGGAAAGCACCTATGACATCAACTTTTCCTGCAATCAACTTGGATGAAAAAGCTATTTGCCATGGCAGATCTGAGGATCTGGTGTTTGGGTGCAGCTCAGCAACTGGATATGGAACTATAATGTCAGAACCTCCACAACTTTAAACCAATGGTCAAAAATTACCAAAGTCTACACCTTCTCTCCCTCTCCTCCTTCCTCCCCCTCCACAGATATGGGCAAAGCCTGTGGAAAAATAAAGAAGAATGTTGGGGTATTCATGAAGTTTTTTGTGACCTAACACATGAGACATCTGATATCGGAGAACCTTATTATGGCAGAGTGAAATCTCTTTCAGCTGGAGTCCATTCAGTTTGGATCACCAGTAGCAGATTTACTCCGTGGAGGGAAAGTAAGTCTGAAAGTGTTTAGCCGTTCTGTATCCAGAAATATGGGCTCCCTCTTCCAGGGATGTCTGTTTTTTCCCCACAACTTGTAATTCTGAATAGTCACTTCATAACTAAAAGTTTAACAAAAGAAAAATTATTATTACATTGCAGACCAAGTTAACATTGTGATTCTTAAATCTTAGCATATACCTTTTGTTTCACGCTATGATCTTTTTTGTTCTGAATGCACATTTGTACCCACAAAATAGGTTGCTAGAAGTCTAAGCTCTATTGCTTGTGACTGCGATTGTTTGCAGCCTTGGTACTGTACTCATAGTTGACAGCAAACACAAAAGTGCTGGTGCAAAATTAGAGGCCTCACTGAAGATACCCTCTACAGTGCTAAATGCTTGTTGTCTTTAGCCTTCTACAGCAACATGTAAAGGTTTCTATAGTAAGAAAGAACACGTTATGTCAAATTTGTTCTCCTCCACGTTGCTGGCTTATTGATCTCAGAGTATGTTAATTCCATGAGAAGGATGGGGAAGTTCCTTTTTCTGCCGAAAGAGTGAATTTAGCAAAACTGAGCTGTGAGCTAGCTGGCAGTGGGTACACTTTGTGCTTGTGGAAGATGCCCACTTCCCTAGAGACTGGACTATATATAACTACCACCAGTCCGAGCCGACTCACATTCAATGCTTCTGTTTAGAGTATGCTGCCGAGGAAATAGTGAAACTGTTGAACTGCTTGGGGAGGGGAGGGGGGAGGAAAGATTCCTAGGTGGCTCTGAGCTATGAAGGTCAGTAAAATTCAGTTGCTTTAGCAAGTAAGACTCTTCGTGCAGGGTAAAACAGCTGTGTAGTATTGCTGTACAGTACACCCTTGCAATCTGCACCAGGTGGTGGGCAGGTGATATGTTCGCTAAATCAGGGGTGTGGCAGAGGAGCAGCAAAAAGATGTACAAGTCCAAGGGCGAAGCATGTGTTATCCAGACATCAGGTGTCAGAACCTTATTCAGAAACAGAGCATTAATAGTCAGACATCTAGGTCTCAGGAATCCGCCATTCTCAAAAAATTGCTATTACAAAACAAATACTTTATACAAAATTCCACTTAGATTGAGTACACACGAGTACTAATTAGTTGCCTATACATAACTGAGAAACCAGAGGCTGATGCTCTTTAACTTAAGAAACGGGTATCTCCAAGATAACTAAATGGCATGGAGCTGGAACAAGCACTCTCATTAGCATTCAACACCACGGCCACGTCTGGATAAAGGATCGAGAAACCTGAGAGTAAGGGGGGAAATGTGTCCTCCTTAAGGTATGGGAAAAAGGAGCAGAAAGTCAAGAGTTATTGGCTACACTGGAACATCCTGCCAGTAGTCTACACCAGCACCTGTCAAGTGCAAGTTCAGTGCCTTCAAGAACACAGTATATCTTTCAATGAAGGAACAGTTTGTAAAGCTTGTTGTATAGCTGGATCATCATCCTTTACTGCACTGCAATCTCTTCTATGTGTTGTTTCCTAATTGCATGCTTAACTTTCTTGCTAATGCATTTCCTTCCACCTGGGGCCAGGGGAACAAGTCTGAAGGGAAGTTCATAGCAGATGAACCTTTGTTTTGGCACAGTAGGTTTACAGCTTTACAGTATTTAGAAGTTGGTAAATGTGTAACTTTTTCTTTTGACGGTATATATCCTAGTGATGATATACAGAGAAGCAGCAACAGAAAAGGTGATAGCATGCTTTTCTAGCTCACTTTTGTTTGGTACAGTTGATCTCATGGATCTGTGAGAGTCAGTGTTAGGGGGCTTATTCCTTCACCCACTTACTTCCCTGGTCCTTCTTGCATGAACAGAGAGCAACAATACCCGAAGTCCAAGGGTTCAAACAATTCAATGTTTATTGGGGTGAACTTCCAGCAAGCATGATTCCAGTTTCCTTCCTTAGTGTCCCCCTTCCCAGCTCTGACACCACAGAGCCTTAAACCTGTGTCCTTGTTCCCATTCCTGCCCTTAGCCAAACATGATTCCAATTTCCCCACCCCCATTCCCTGTTCTCATTCCCCCCTTTTCTTCCTGACTGACTGCAGACTATATAGTAAAACTTGAGTTCTGCTTAGCTATACCTTAACCAATCATTTTCCTGAAATTTAACTAACCAATCCTAACATATTGTAACATGATTATGTAACCAATTATATCCCACCACCTTAATTAGTTTACACCCAGCAAAATTAATTATACAGCAGACAGAAACAATCACAGAACCAGACAGATTATCCAGACAGACAATAGCAAAGTGGGAACTATAATGACAAAAGAATACAGAAGTGAGGATTTTACATCCCAGCTATTGATAAGTGAGTTCTTGCCAGACAGGATGCTATCAAACTAAGTTTCCTTTTACATCTTCTAGGCACTTCCCTTTCTCTGGAGGCGATAGGCACTATCAGGACAGGATTGTATTCCTAACAGCCCAATAGCACCTTCTTTCAATGTGACTAGTTTGGAATGTGAGGATGTGACCGGTCGCTTCCCAGCTAATGGCTGCCTCTGCTGCTTAGCCAAAGGCCTTGGCCTAAGAACAGGGCCTCAGACTGTCACAGTAAGAGAAGGCCCTTACACCGGCAGCCAGTGATTTTGATTCTTTCTTTTATATCTCTATAACTAGCCAAGTGATAATAATACACCTAAATTCTTAACATATAGGCCTTTACAGGTAGGCCCGAATATCTATATCCTAAGTCAGACTGAACAATCCGCATTACAATTTAAGGGACTGACGTTTTCCTTAATCATTTGCTTGTGACTGAGACTAAGCTTTGTCCCAGAGACTAGTATTTTATGACAGTAGCTTGGGTGATGAAACATGTTCACCTGTTTCACTTTCATGGGTGGTGGAACAACTTTTAGAGTGGGGGTGCTGAGAGCCATTGAACCAAGCTGTAAACCCTGTGTATAATGGAAGCCACTTCAAGCCAGGGGATGCTACAGCACCCTCCTTCCATCACCTTCCCCCTCCGACTCCACCCACCCACCCAAAAAAGAAATAACATTGGGTTGATTCTGCCTTACCATGTCATTGGGAATGGCACAAGATTTAACCCGTAGCTATTTAAAAACCCAAATGTTTTTCAAATATGTCAAAAGCTCCTGTCCTCACTGAGGACTATGTCCATGGCAAGACAGTTGTTTTTAAGGTAGCCATTTTGAGTAATCCAAACACACAGACAATTCTGAAAGTCCTAGCTCATGAAAATTCCCTTTTGCTTACAACAAATATACCTTGTGAACAGCAACATGGAATTTTACCAAACTTTCACAAGTTTTCATCTTTTGAGCTGATATTTCTCATGGTTGTAAATTAAAACTTTGCACTATTTTAAAAAAAAACCTTAAAAGCAACCCATCAGCTGTAAGTACCGCTTTACTAGCATGATGCCACTATACAAAGATAGTAACATTACAAATTAAATTATTTGATGGTCTATTTTTCCCCCAATTGCTTACAATTCAGGACTGTGAGGTAAGCATTAATCAGTTATAATTATTTTCATATTTTTGTTTATTACTGTAGCAAAAATAGGACCTCCATCAGTAAATGTGACTCCTAGAAACAAATCCATAAAATTAAAGCTCCAGGCTCCAAATTCACCTTATACAAGGAGAAGAGGCAGCAAGATACCAATGACAAACTATTATGATCTATCCTATCAAGTGTTTCTAATCAGCAACATGCTAGATGAAGTAAGTGCACGTTCATATACACATTGTACTTCTAAAAATTTAATTACGTAAGCCTGTGCAAACCCCTCCTGTTTTAATAGAGCCGGCGCTAGACATAAGAAGGGCAATTGCTTAGGGCCCTGACCAGCTCAAGGGGACCCCTTATTCACTTTCTCATTTAACGTGGACTATATAACAAGTTTATTAGTATGTGGGCGGGGGGGAGAGGGCAAAAAATATTTCTGCTTAGGGCCCTCACTGGGCTAGCACAGCCTCTGTTTACAATTGAATTAACCCTCCAGATTTGCTTGTGCATAGCTAAATGAATGTAGAGGTTTTAGAAAATAATTCATGACTTTATTATTGTGTCGACAACCTTTATCCTATCCCTTTGTTAGTGTGTTTCAGCTCTCCTTTATCATTCCTAAATAAGCTCTTTGCGGAGGGTCTTTTTGGATGCTACAAGCTAATAAATTATTTTATTTACATACTGTTGTTGGCTCACGCACATCCTAAACATGGCTGTACAGTGCTGCTGTCCTTAACGAAGCCATGCCATTGAAATACTTATTACAGAAGCATACTGATTGTGATTTTCCCCTTCCCCCTATATGTAGAAAAACAAAATACTGGTGTATGAAGGAACAGACAAAATTGTTAAAATAGAAGGTTTGAAACCTGAAGTCAGCTACTGCATAGTGGTTGCAACCTACTTGCCAGTGCTGGACCGCAGCAGTGTGTACAGCGGTAGGAAATGCACGGTACCTCTATGACATGGTAAGTGAACAAAAGAGAAGCTGCATGGGATCCCAGAAGCTAGAGATGGTAAAGACCTACCAGACTACCTAGTCCATGCCCTTGCCAACACAAGATAGAACAAAAGGTCATATGAAACTGCTACTGTATTTGAAACTCAAGCAATATACCCAAAGCTTTCATGCACTTCTCTCAAAACTGTGTTGATGTCACAATTGTACAGGAAGCCAAAGCAGAAGAAATATGGTAGATACAGAACGTTTGAATATTTGCTTGTTGACATTAGTGCTTAGATCACCAGGAAAAACCCTCATATAAATAGATTAGGAATGCCCCTTATTTCCCTGTGATTAAATATGGATACACAGTATTATTTCCATCAGCTTTGATGGCCTGGAAGTAACAAATAACTCAGACCTGTAACTTAGGGTATGTCTACACTTGCAGAGTTTTTGCACTGTAAGTTTCACCGGTAATAGGGAACCAGTGAAAGTAAAGCGCTGGTTTGTGTACTCACTTAATTCTTCAGGCTTCAGAGAGCATTTGCCTTAGCAGCACTTGCATCACCGATGAGAGCAGTGCTCTAGGGCAGCTATCCCACAGTGCAGCGCTCTCGATAGGTCTTGGGGGGGAGGGGGAAGTTTGAGCAAAAGGCATTCTGGGTCCCTGCTCAGTGCCTTTTGATGCACTGGTTCATGTCCCAGCAGCCCTATTACTTTCTTGTTTCTTTCACGACATTTTTTAAAACCCCCTGCTGTCTGGCTTCTTTCCCTGCCACATCTACGATCAGGAATGGATCCTGCACTGCTGTCTGCTATTCTGATAGCTGTCACTTGCACATCGCACATGGCAGTGCAGCTGTTCTTAAACTTGCAAAGAGAACTGCAGTCAGAGATGCCCGATGAGCTGCCTGAAATGGAAATAAGTAACATTCGATTGCTTTTGGCATTAGCTGAGGAGCTGAGCACTGTGGACCCGGTGTTTTTGGGCTAGGGAAACTAGCTCAGAGTGGTGGGATTGTATCATTATGCATGTCTGGGATGACGACCAGTGGCTTCAAAACTTTCGGATGCAGAGAGTCAACTTCATGGAACTGTGTACTGAGCTTTTCTTAGACCTGTGTCGCAAGGACACCAGACTGAGAACTGCACTCACTGTCGAGAAGCTTGTGGCAATCACACTGTCGAAGCTGGCGACTCCAGACAGCTATCGGGTGGTTGCAAAGCGGCTTGGAATGGGAAGATAGACCGTTGGTGCCATGGTAACTCAAGTGTGCAAGGCCATTAATCACATCCTACTGCACAAGACCGTGACTCTTGGAAACGTGCGTGACATTTTGGATGGCTTTGCAGAAATTTGCTTCCCTAACTGTGGTGGAGAGATAGATGGAACGCACATCCCTATTGTTGCCCCGGCCCACCTTGGCACAGAGTACATAAATTGTAAGGGGGTACTTCTCCATGGTTTTTCAGGCACTAGTGGATCATCATGAGTGTTTCACTGATATTAATGCTGGGTGGTCAAGAAAGGATGTATGACACACGTATCTTTAAAAACACTGGCCTGTTCAGAAAGCTGCAAGTGGGGACTTTCTTTCCAGACCAACGGCTCACTGTTGGGGAAGTGGAATTGCCCATTGTGATCCTGGGAGACCCAGCTTACCCACTGATGCCATGGCTCATGAAGCCATACACAGGAAACTAAATGTCAGTAAGGAATGTTTCAACAACAGGCTGAATAGGTGCAAAATGGCTGTTGAACGTGAATTTGGCTGTTTGAAAGCGCGCTGGAGATATTTGTATTGTAGACTAGAAATGAGTGAGGAAAATATTCCCACGGTTATTGCGGCGTGCTGTACTTTACGTAACGTTTGTGAGGGGAAGGGCGAAAGGTGTACTCATACGTGGAGTCTGGCGGCCGAACGCCTGGCTGCAGCAGCCAGATACTTGGGCTATTAGAGGGGCACAACGTGTGGCAGTTAGGATCCGGGATGCCTTGAGGGGAAAGTTTTTGAAAATGAAAATCATTAAACTTTGCTGCTGTGCTTGGGAAAGGAAGTGTCAACAGCATGTGCTGTGCTGCCTGGCGGTTCTGTCTGCGATTTCAGTGATGTTGAAGTGCTAGATGACTTGTAGCTGTGATGACATGTACAGAAATGTGAACATGCAAATAAAGCTCGCTTCTTTTTGAAAAAAGTGTGCTTTTATTTTAAAAACAGAGAAAACACCCCATGCACTTATATCAATCCTGAGTGATGGTGGGGAACAGAATGGGTGCCCGTATACCTCACAGCAGTGTATAACTCCAGCTGTCACTGGACAAGCTGTCTGGGGGTGTGGATTGTTGAGGAATGGAAAAATTTAAAGCAAGCCTATGAGAATGTGCAGTGGGAGTTTGGGGAGTGCATACAGAATTCTTTCCCATTTGCTGCAATGGGGGGTGGGCATGAATCAGGTCACTCTGCGGTATAATGAGAGAATGCAATGTATCTGTCTGATGCACCAGAACACTGATTAGCCTCTCCGTGGCTTCCCTATGGAGAGCATTATTCTCTTTTCAGTCTCTGTTCTCTCCCTCTTTCCACTGTGTCATGGTTTCTCTCCATTTATTTTTATCATGTGTCTCCACTTGGGAGTGCAGAATCACCTTATGAAACTTGTCCTCCTTAGTGCTTCTTGGCTGCTTTCTGATGCGGCGCAGACAGTCTGCTACAGTGGGGGGTGGTCTTCCACAGTCATGTCTGGGGAGACAAAAGCAACACATTGCTGTGAAACATGCATACAGGAATCACTGTGTACCTCGCAATACACCACTGGTAAGAAATCACTGTTTTGGTGATAGAAGTCAAGCACCCATGGTGCACAAGAACCCAGCAATGGTGAGGGAATGCAGGGTTTGAGGGTTTATTGCATACACCCATTCTGAAAAGGGCAAGCGTGAAGGGAGGGCACCCAGCACACAAACACAGCCACCTTAGTACTCTTCTTTGCCCATAACCTGCTTTATGCATTGTCGGAGCAAAGCAACTTATCAGAGCTCTGCTCTCCTGCCTCTGCCTCAGCAGCCAGTGGCTGCTCACACTGGCTGGACACCTCCAAGGAGGAGAAGAGGTCCTGAGCGCATGCAGCAACGGGCTCCACAGCTTCCTCAGCCACCTCCTCTTCATCTATGACTCCTCCTGCTGGCTGGGGCCACTTTTCACTCCCTCCAGACATGCAGAAGTACCACTGGGCTCTTTGCAATGGAGGTGGGGTCAGCACTTAGGATTGCATTCAATTCACTGTAAAAACGGCAGCTTTGGGGCGCAGCACCAGACTGACAGTTCATAGAATCATAGAATATCAGGGTTGGAAGGGACCTCAGGAGGTCATCTAGTCCAACCCCCTGCTCAAAAGCAGGACCCATCCCCAATTAAATCATCCCAGCCAGGGCTTTGTCAAGCCTGACCTTAAAAACTTCTAAGGAAGGAGATTCCACCACCTCCCTAGGCAACGCATTCCAGTGTTTCACCACCCTCCTAGTGAAAAAGTTTTTCCTAATATCCAACCTAAACCTCCCCCACTGCAACTTGAGACCATTACTCCTTGTCCTGTCCTCTTCCACCACTGAGAATAGACTAGAACCATCCTCTTTGGAACTACCTCTCAGGTAGTTGAAAGCAGCTATCAAATCCCCCCTCATTCTTCTCTTCCGCAGACTAAACAATCCCAGTTCCCTCAGCCTCTCCTCATAAGTCATGTGTTCCAGACCCCTAATCATTTTTGTTGCCCTTCGCTGGACTCTTTCCAATTTATCCACATCCTTCTTGTAGTGTGGGGCCCAAAACTGGACACAGTATTCCAGATGAGGCCTCACCAATGTCGAATAGAGGGGGACGATCACGTCCCTCGATCTGCTCGCTATGCCCCTACTTATACATCCCAAAATGCCATTGGCCTTCTTGGCAACAAGGGCACACTGCTGACTCAAATCCAGCTTCTCGTCCACTGTCACCCCTAGGTCCTTTTCCGCAGAACTGCTGCCTAGCCATTCGGTCCCTAGTCTGTAGCTGTGCATTGGGTTCTTCCATCCTAAGTGCAGGACCCTGCACTTATCCTTATTGAACCTCATCAGATTTCTTTTGGCCCAATCCTCCAATTTGTCTAGGTCCCTCTGTATCCTATCCCTCCCCTCCAGCGTATCTACCACTCCTCCCAGTTTAGTATCATCTTCAAATTTGCTGAGAGTGCAATCCACACCATCCTCCAGATCATTTATGAAGATATTGAACAAAACCGGCCCCAGGACCGACCCCTGGGGCACTCCACTTGACACCAGCTGCCAACTAGACTTGGAGCCATTGAGGGAGTTTGCCTCCCTCACCTTGTGGTAGGCGTTCCTCAGCTCCTTCACCTTCGCTCTGCACTGCATGATGTCCCTGTTATGCCCCTTCTCCTGCAAGCTGCGTGCAATCTGCTCGTAGGTATTGAAATTCCTGTGGCTGGAACGCAGCTGGCACTGCCCAGCCTCCTCTCCCCAGACTCTGATCAGATCCAGTAGCTCGGTATTGCTCCAAGCAGGGGATCATTTGCTATGTGGAGCAGCCATGGTCACCCGGGCAGATGAGCACTTGTAACAGGAAAGGGCGTTTCAAACATCCCGGGGCTTTACAGGGGGCAGGGCGGACGTCCATTTACCTGGCATCAGAGCAGCAGAGGCGCTGGCCAGAGTGTTCACTTTTGGAACTGTGGGACTTGGGCTGGGGAGCTCATTTGGGAGACCGCGGAACTAAAGGCCTCTATCGTAAGCAGATCTGGGTCTCCACATCAGTGCCCGAGAGCTGAAAGCGGTGCGCATAGCATGTCAAATATTCTGTCCTTACCTAATCGGACAATGTGTATCAGTCATGACGGACAATATGACAGCAATGTTCTATATCAACAAATGGGGGTGCATGCTCCTCTCCCCTGTGTCAAGAAGCCCTCATGCTGTGGGATTTCTGTGTAGAACATTCAATTCACCTGCAGCTGTCGTACCTCCCCAGGGTTCAGAACGAGCTGGTGGACCACCTCAGCAGGTTGTTCCACAGCCACGAGTGGTCCCTTTGCCTGGATGTTGCAATTTCAGTCCCCCAGAGGTGGGGGTTTCCCCTGATAGACCTCTTTGCCATGCGATGCAACAGGAAGCACCAACAGTTCTGCTCCTTCCAGAATCACAGCCCGGGCTCCAGTGCGGATGCGTTCCTCCTCCATTGTGGAGGTTCTCTCCTATATGCCTTTCCGCCCATATCGCTCATTCACAAGGTGCTGCTCAGGATCCGCAGAGATCAAGCATGGGTCATACTGATAGCTCCGGCCTGGCCCCATCAGCACTGGTACACTTCCCTCCTAGACATGTCTGTGGGAGCCCCGATTACCTTGCTGCTCTCCCCAGACCTTCTCACACAAGATCACAGACATCTCCAACACCCCAACCTCCAGTCGCTCCATCTTATGGTGTGGAAGCTCCATGGTTAAATCCATTCGAGTTTTCCTGTTCAGACCAGGTCTGACAGGTCCTCCCTGGCAGTAGGAATCCCTCTAGGAGAGCCATGTACCTTGCCAAGTGAAAGAGATTCTCAATCTGGTCGGAGCAGCACCACTCGCCCCCAACGCTGGCGTCAGTGCCACACATTCTGGACTACCTCCTCCATCTGAAGCAGGAGGATCTCTCGTTGTCTTCTCTATGGGTGCACCTAGCGGCTATCTCGGCCTTCCACGCAGGCGTGCAGGGCCACTCGGTATTTGCTAACTCCATGGTCCACCAATCCCTGAAGGGGCTCGACAGGTTATACCCTCACATCCGTCAGCCGGTCCCTGCCTGGGACCTCAGCTTGGCCCTTTCAAGGCTCCTGGGGCCCCCTTTCGAGCCTTTAGCAACATGCTCCCTGCTCTACCTCTCTTACAAGGTCGTGTTCCTGGTAGCAATAACCTCAGTCAGGAGGGTGTCTGAGCTCAGGGCCTTGACATCAGACTTTCCCTACACCGTGTTCTATAAGGACAAGGTTCAGCTCAGGCCTCACCCTGCTTTCCTCCCAAAGGTCATCTCGCAGTTTCACATCAACCAGAACATCTTCCTCCTGGTTTTCTACCCTAAACCTCATTCCAGCAGCAGGGAGCAGAGACTCCACTCTCTGGATGTCTGCAGGGTGCTGGCCTTTTACATCGAGAGAAAGAAACCATTCAGAAAGTCGTGGCAGTGGCGGACAGGATGAAAGGTCAGCCCGTTTTGTCCCAATGCATCTCATCACGGATCGTGTCCTGTATCCGTGAGTGCTATGACCTGGCAGATGTTCCCACACCACCCATCACTGCGCACTCTACCAGGGTGCGGGCTTCATCAACAGCGTTCCTGGCTCAGGTTCCCACCCAGGAAATTTGCAGAGCCGTGACGTGGTCCTCCATACACACTTTCACCATGCATTATGTGACTACCCAGCATGCCAGAGATGATGTGACCTTTGGAAGAGAAGTACTCCAGTCAGTGGACAGCTCCAATCCCCCTGAACTTGGCTTGGGAGTCACCTGATTGGAATGGACATGAACAAGTACTCAAAGAAGAAAAAAACATTACTCACTTCTTGTAACGGTGGTTCTTCGAGATGTGTTGTTTATGTCCATTCTAATACCCACCCTCCTACCCCTCTGTTGGAGTAGCCAGCAAGAAGGAACTGAAGGGGTAGCGGGTTGGCAGGCTCTACATTGAGCGCCATGAAGGCGCACCAGGGGGTGCCCAGGCCGGCCCGACAGATGCTAAGGGAAAAATCTTCCAGCCATCATGCACATGTGTGCGCACACACCTGATTGGAATGGACATGAACAACACATTTCAAAAAACAAGAGTTACGAGAAGTGAGTAACCAGGTTTTTTGGGGTTTTGTTTTGTTTTGTTTTTTTTGCTCTTTAAATGGCAAGTGTAGACATGCCCTTAGTGATTGTAAAGCTCTGGCACAAAAAGGGGCTATAAAAGTTGTTGTTTGTTCAGGGATTTACAAAGCTCCCTTCAACTTCTAATAGTAGTTAGTGTCTGGGTCATCCTATGGAACACTTCATACTTTATGTTCTCATTTGTTATATTTCCAAGCCATGTGCTTTATAGGCACCAACTATCAAACTT